TAGAACAAAGATTTTTAACATGACTTTGGGCCTAGCTTAAGCCTTTCCTATTCAGGCTTCATGTTCCCAAAACCTCTCACCTCAATTTCTAGTCTCCCTACTCAAAGAACTTCTCAAGCATTTGATGTCCACCCTTGCCTCTATTCCCTCTGTCTGGTACATTTTTACACTCCCTGTTAGCTCAGTTAAGTCTCTCCTATCCCATCAGCCCTGCATGCCCATTCACATTTCCAAGCAACAACTCACTCGTTTTTTACACCACAGCTTAAGTTAGATTTTCTAGAATTTTATAGAAATTGTATCACAAAGTATATACTCTTTTTTGTCTAGCTTCTTTCACTCAGCATAATTGCCTCAAGATGCAACCATGCTGTTCCATGCATCAGTCATTCATTCCTTTTAATTGCTGAGTAGTATTCCATTGCATAGATAGACCTAAAACTATCTATCTATTAATTCCTTGGGTATCTGAGTTGTTTCCAGTTTGGAGCTATAACAATAAAGCTGCTATGAATATTCATGAACAAACCTTATATGGACATTCTTGGGTAAATACTTAAGAGTGGAATGTCTGGATCATATGGTTGTTATACTAGATTGAAGAGTGTCCCCCTTAAATCACATCCACATGGAACCTCAGAATAAGACTTTATTTGGAAATAGATGAATATTAAAATCAGGTCATATTGGATCACAGTGGTTCCTAAATGCAATACTGATATTTTTATAAGAGAGATATATAGGAAAGAAATCCATGTGATAATGTGGGTAGAGACTGCAAGGGTATAATGAATTTTCTTCACCATTTTCACTCAACATAGTTCATGTTTCCAATTGTTTTTCCAGTTTCAAATGACTCCAAACACTGTATCCTTTTCTACTTCCTTCCCTCCCTCATTCACACATTCAGCAGGGACATTCTGAGAATTTACTAAGTGTCAGAACGATGCCACCCTGGAGAGTCTAAGAGAAGGAAAAGGTAGTGGGCTCTTCAAGAAATTTACATTCAGGTGAAAGATATAAATAAAGCAATAATTCTAATTCAAAGTTATAAACTGAGATGGAAGATGTACAAGGCATGCAGGTGCAGATGTTCCCGGTGTGTGGGGTGCAGGGGTGAGGAGGAGACAGCAGTTGAGCAGAACAGAGCTCTTCAGGGTTCCCTCCAGAGCCTCCCTTTGCTCTTCTTTTTGCAGCCCCACTCCCTCCTCCCATATCCACAGCTCCCATAAAACGACACTGAAAATATGCCAGTCTCTGTGCCAAGCACTGTTTTTTTTTCAAGCACTATTTCATTTAATACAGCAGCACTATGAAGCAAATAGTACCACCTACCCGCATTTTATACAGAAGGAACTTCCAGAGACTTCCCTGGTGGTCTAGTGGCTAAGACTCCATGCTTCCAATGCAGGGGGCCAGGGTTCCCTCCCTGGTCAGAGAACTAGATCCCTCGTACCGTAACCAAGACCTGGTATAGCCAAATAAATAAATTTTTAAAAGGGTGGGGTGGGGGAGGAAACTGGGGCTAAGGAGACTAAATAACCAGCTGATAAGTGGCAAAGCACCTACTCTAACCATCACACTACCCTGCTTCACGAATCTGAAACACAGGCAAGACCGTGAGATGGGGAAGGATCATTTTCTCAAAGGCTTAAAAGCTCTTTGCCACATTTTCCACCTCAAAGACACATGCCATACTTTAGGAAGAGATGAAAACTAGCTCTCTAGGAGTCTTCTAATCATTGAATAGGAAATTTGATGTCAGGAGGCCAGGAAGCTGTCATCACCATTCTTCGTTACACTAATTGCTTTGAAGATGAAATATGGCTTGTTTCCCACTTTACCCTGCTCATATTCATAGCTCTGCTCCTTTGGAATATTATCTGCTGTGGGTCAGGGAAGGCTTTTTCCCCTCAATATACAGAGGATAAAACTGAAGCCACAGCAGGTGCATATCACCCAGATCCCACAGCCAGTGGGAGGAAGCCGAGTGTCCCAGGGACTGACCTTGCTTGTCAGGCTGCCCCAGTAGCTGCCCTTTGCTCCAGCAGCTCTGCCCACTCCCTCTCTCCCATACAAGCATTGCTCACGCCAACTTTTGTATTTTTTGGCACAGCTTCTTCCCATCCTAAAACAGCTTCTTTCTCCCAAATATTCTTCACTCCATCACAGCACAGCTAACCCTGCACAGTCAGTCACTCCAGCACCTCCTGGCCTCTCCCACGTTTACTCCCACTGTACTGCACCTCACCAAGGATTAAAATCAGGATTGCACTTTCCTACGTAACTGTGCCACTTGGATAACACTCAGCTATCGCAATAGATGCCAGCCCACTCAGACAGGGCTGAATCATCTACTTTGGGGTTTTCCCATAGTATGCAATGTAGTTCTGAGGCCACAGAAGAGACTGATAAATACATTACGACTTAGGTCTATATACTCCTGTATGCTGAAAACATCCCTTTTCTACATGTTCCAGGCAGGGATGCTGACTTCTACATAAAAGAATATTTATTGGCTCAGTTATTGGAAATGTTCCCACTGTCTCAGACCTTTTTTTTTTTTTTTTTTTAAACTCCAGCAATAGCCAGCCCTACACAGCTTCCCTCTGGGGCAAAGGTGACAGCACCTCACCCCTGCCCATGCCATGCACCTGCTGCTGCCTGCCCCTGGGCTATCTCTGTTCCCTATTTCACTCTGATCTTCAATTCCACTCCCTGCCAGGGATCTCATTCCAGGCTCTGCTTCCAGGAGATCTGGGCTAAGACAGTATGAATCCACTTGGGCTGACTCAATAAAATATCAGAGGCTGGGTGGTTTAAACAATGGAAACATATTTCTCAGTTTTGGAGGCTGGAGAGTCCAAAATCAAGTTCCTGAAGATTTTGGGGTTTGATGAGGTCTCTGCCTGTTTCGTAGATGGCTACCTTCTACCTCACATGGCCTCTCCTTGGTGCCTGGGTGGAAAGATATCTCTCTTCCTCTCCTTATAAGGTCGACCTTATCTAGGACCCCAGCCTTTCAATTCAGTTCAGTTCAGTCACTCAGTCGTGTCCGACTCTTTGCGACCCCATGAATCACAGCACGCCAGGCCTCCCTGTCCATCACCAACTCCCGGAGTTTACTCAGACTCATGCCCCTTGAGTCGGTGATGCCATCCAGCCATCTCATCTTCTGTCATCCCCTTCTCCTCCTGCCCCCAATCCCTCCCAGCATCAGGGTCTTTTCCAAAGAGTCAACTCTTCGAATGAGGTGGCCAAAGCCTTTAGGCTTCGGTTAAATTTAATTAACTCCTAAAATCCCTATATCCAAATACAACTAGGGAGAGGGGGAGCAGTTAGGATTGTAAATGACTGGGGTACTGGGGACACAATTCAGTCTATAGCCGACAGCATCATTCAAAACTATTGGTTTGAGGGAGCTTCCCTGGCAGTCCAGTAGTTAAGACTCCAGGCTGCTAATGCAGGGGGCATGGGTTCAACCCCTGGTGGAGGAACAAGGATCCCACATGGGGGTGGGGTGGCAGTGGGGGGCCCTGGGAGGTGGAGGGTGGGGGGGCCCTACTGCCACCCCACCCCCATGTGGGATCCTTGTCCTAACCCCCACCCCCCTCCCCCCCTCCCCTCACCTCCCCTACAAAAAATAATTGGTTTTGGTCAAAAGGCAGCTAAGGAAAGCAAGGTTCTCCAAGATTCCACCACCTTCATTTTATTTTTTAAAGCTCCATTTTGCTCTCTTCCCTCCTTTTATGTTTTAATGACTAGCATCATAAACAATGTTTTATTTAACGACTATTTAGGAAAGATACTATACTAGCCTGTTCTCATGAATCTTAAACATTTCTAGTGGGCTTCCCTGGTGGGCTCAGATGGTAAAGAATCTGTCAATCTGCCTGCAATGCAGGAGACCCAGGTTCAGTCCCTGGGTGAGGAAGATCCCCTGGAGAAAGAAATGGCAACCCACTCCAGTGTTCTTGCCTGGAGAATTCCATGGACAGATGAGCCTGGCGGGCTACAGTCCATGGGGCCGCAAAGAGCTGGACACAACTGAGCAACTAAAACACATAAACACACACACACACACACACACACACACACACACTTCTGCTAGTTACTGCAAAGACTACATTCTGGTCACAGTTTCCCTAGTTTAGGGAGGAACTTTTGCCAACTTAAAGTGTAACCTCTTAGAGCAAATCACTTTGCTTTTCTGGACCGCTTTTTTAAGTATAAAGTGGGACAACAAGGTAACAGCTGTGACACAGGATAACCCAGCTATTCTGCTGGGTTAGGAGGATCTGAGGAGATGGAAGGGGGAGGTAGTTTGTAAAGGGAAAAGGAGCTGAACAAGGTAGAAGCTTCGGGGTTCTCTGGCGTGAGTAGGGCGGGGACCCTGGCGCACTCCCAGGTACCTCTGGGCTCCACATTCCAGGGGAGAGGGGGTCCAGAGCGTTCCCAGTGCGCCCGGGTCCTCGGAGCAGCTCGGTTTCCTCCAAGCTGCCTGCCGCCAAACCCGCAGTGTTTACCAGAACCCGGGTGGTTTGCAAACCCAGATGTCAGACTTCCTGTCCCAGAGATTTTCAACTCGCTCACCCCCAACTCCTATTCGGCCTCCCCCAGGAAGGAGAGAGAAGGCTGAAAGCAGGAGGAGCTAGCCCGGGGCAGCCTCCCTCCTCTCTCTCCACCCCAAAGGCAGGAATTTCTGGGACGGGCAGATGGTCCAGCCCCTCTTCCTCCTGCTGCTCCAAGCCGCAAAGGGAGAACCTCCGCGACTTTTCCGTCTTCCAACCAGAGTGTCCCCCCACCGTGGCGACAGGGGTGACTGACGAAGTGGGTATCGGGGACGCAGGGGTGGCGAGGCCCCGGGGGAAGGGTGGAGCGCGGAGGAGGCTGCGGTCCTGCCCTCCCCCACCCCACCCACCGCAGGGCTGGGCGCGGGGGCTGCGGCGCTGGCACCCGCGGGCGCTACACCCGGAGACCGGCGGGCCAAGTGGTTAGCGATGCCGCTGCTGTCGCTGTCGCTGCTCCTGCTGCTGCTGCAGGTACCGGCGGGCTCCGCCACCCCGGAGTGGCTCCGCGAGTGGCAAGGTGAGTGCTCCCCGGGGCCAGAGAGCCCAGCGGGCACGTCGGGGGCGGAGGTGATCCAGAGAAGGAAGGCGAAGCAGCCGCGATCAGACCGTGCTCCGCGTGGGGAGCGCGGGGAGGGGTTGGTACCTGGGCTCGAGGGCCGTTTGACTCAACTGTGGCCGGGGACGCGCCGAGCGTAGGAGGGTAGATATTTCAAAACGTAAACTTTTCGAGAGTGGTGTATTTGGGACGACCATCTCTGGGGAAAATGATGGCAAAAAGATGTCCCATCTTGTTCTCCCCAAAGCAAGCGCTCTTGGTGCACGCTGCCACCCGTGGAGTGTCCCCAAGCCGGGCTTCTCCGTTCTGCGCCGTCGGAAAATAAAACAATCTTCTCTATTAAAGCCTCTCCGGCCAGATGGAGAAGAGGAGACTCTGTGGCCCTAATGAATTTGTGAGCTGGAACAAATTCGCTCTTTGCTCTTCAGTTTCTTAACACTTTAACTGATTCATTTCAATGTATGACAAAAACCACTGCAATGATGTAAAGTAATTAGCCTCCAACTAATAAAAATAAATGAAAAAAATAAAAAAATAAAATAAAATAAAAAATAAATAAAATATAGGGGCTGTGACATCCATAGGACTACTGATCACAAAATGTGACCTCCTGCAAAGCACACAGCATGCCAGTGAGTGGGGAGTTTTGGAGGGGTTACCGCCACAGTATACACCTGTACTCACAGCTCAGTTCATCAAATATTTATTGAGCACCTACTATACCTAAGATTCATAAAGAGACAGCTACAGAGATAGAAGGGCTTCCCAGGTGGCGCTCGTGGTAAAGAACCAACCTGCCTATGCAGGAGACACAAGAGGCTGGTTTGAATCCCTGGGTCAGGAAAATCCCCTGGAGGAGGACATGACAACCCACTCCAGTATTCTTGCCTGGAGAATCCCATGGACAGAGGAGCCTGGCGGGATAGAGTCCGTGGGGTGGCAAAGAGTTGGACACGACTGAAGCCACTGAGCACAGACACAAACAGAGACAGAAAGAGAATGCAAGCCTGCATTCATGATTAACTATATGGGCTGCCTCAGAGGCAAAGCAGCCAGCATCCAGATGCGCAAGCCCGGGTGTGAGGGGAGGAAGGTGGTAGGGGAAAAACTAAATAAACCAGGAGGAGCCTCCAGGCAGCCTCCATCCTCTCAGCCTTTGGGGAGAAGCTTGAACAGAAGGGGTAAAACAAGGCGTCACCAGTGTCTGTTTCCCTTCTCTTTATTTTCTGCGCCTGGACTGTATCCTCCCGCATTCCTAGGAGGCTTTCCCAGGGGCTGATTGAGCAATTCTTATTCTAAAGCGGCCGAAGGTCAGAGACCTCTCACCTCTTCAGTGAAACGTTCAGTGAAAATGTTCCTGCAGATGGGCATGTGATCTGGTGGGTGACCCATCTCCACCAGCAGTGACTGTGCCGAGCTTACTCGTTTACATTTTAAAATGTGGATCTTGCCTGAGCACTAGTGTCTAACTAGAACAGGGCAGCAGCCCAGAGAAGTTGGAACGTAACAACACAGAGAGAATGCTTTGGTGATCCCCTGAGCCAGGGTTAGCACAGATGGGCTAATCCCTTCTATATGTAGCAGATCCAAATCCCAGCTGAGATTGTTTCTAATCAGTGCCTTCTTTTTAACAGTCAAGGACACTATGAAGTTACAATTGTTCACTACCTCTTGTATACTCATAGTTGGCACAGAGAGTCTTCAAATATGAAAATGCTGCTACTGATTTCTAAAAGCACAGGGACTGTGTGCCACTTAATGCTCCAGTCGCCACCCAGGCTCCCCTTCTTGACTTTAAGCACTCATATCAGTGGAATTTCAAGTATAATCTAGATGGGTTTAAATCAAGTTTTTCCTGTTTGTCCAAAGATGGAGAAACAAAATCTTCATGTTGGAAGGGACCTGAGACATTCTCTACTCCAGCCATCTGTCTTTCAGACATAGAAGCTGAAATATAGCTGGTTTTTTTTTTTTTTTAGTTGTTTGGGGGCTAAGGTTTACCACTGTGTTCACTGTAGTATACTGACTTACTTTTAGCCATGATTGACATCCCCAGAGCAACCAGGAGAAAATATGCTCCTGTGTTAGTTTCATATCCGCTAATAAGGAATATGTAATAATACAAAGTGGGGCTTCCCAGGTGTTTACTAGTGGTAAAGAAACCACCTGCCAATGCAGGTTAGACCTAAGAGATGCAGGTTCAATTCCTAGGTCCGGAAGATCCCCCGGAGGAGGGCACAGCAACCCACTGCAGTACTCTTGCCTGGAGAATCCCACAGACAGAAAAGCCTGGCGGGCTGCAGTTCACAGGGTCACACAGAGTCGGACACAACTGAAGTGACTTAGCATGCACAATAATACAAGGCAGGTTATACATGTTCTATTTTTAATTGAAAATTTATTTGATATGTATTACTGATTGATTTCTTATTTATTGTAAGCATCCCAGCCTTGAGAGAGAGATGATGGATGGTATTGTGGTGACTTTTCAGTCATTTATCAAGGCATGCGTGTATGCTCAGATGCTCAGTCATGTCCAGCTCTTTGCGACCCTATAGTTTGTAGCCCCCCAGGCTCCTTTGTCCATGGGATTTCCCAGGCAGACTGAATGGGTTGTCATTTCCTACTCCAGGGAATCTTCTCAACCCAGGGATCAAACCCACATCTCCTGTGTCTCTTGCATTGGCAGGCGGATTTTTTACCACTGAGCCACCTGGGAAGCCCCATTTATCAATGAATTTGTATTAAAAAATTAGTAGATACAGTGTCATATAGTAGTTACATTAATGCACCCTGGAACCATACTGTTTTCCTGAAGGAAAAGTAGGCAGTTGCCCCATAGAAGCAAGAATATTTGGGAAAAACACAGAATGTGTGCAAAGGCAGAGTCACATATTGGGCAACAGAGTTCAGTGGGCTGAGAGTTCTGATCTGGGCTCTTTTGGATGGAGGAAAGGGAGCCACTGAAGGTCACAGGCAAATGGGGGCCTGGAGGTAAGGGTAGCAGGATCTCAAGGGGCCCCATGGACAGGTCCTTCTGTGCCCCCGGGCCTCCTGGAAACAGAGAACTGGCATTGAGATGAAGCAACTTCTCTGTTTCTCAGGGACTGGTGGGTGGTCCCTGTTTCTATGGACCGGTTTCTTCTGCTTCTACTTGTAGGATCTTTCATAGATAGCTCCCACAGCATCCTCAGAAGATCCTCCTCTCTTAATTTCCTAAGAGAGGAATCTGGCCACACTGGTCATAGCAGACTGGCTGGTCCCTGTGCTCTGGCCCATGAATCAGAGGGCTTCCCATGGCTAGTAGGCCAAAGTAGGGGTGGGAGGTACATACAGGGATGCAGTCTCATTGGGGGCTGTGGATGGAGTAGATCCCCAGAATAGAGTCGTGGCAGGACAAGACACTGGCATGTCTATATTTGGAAGCATATGAAAGATGAGGAAATGAGTTTGTTTGCAGGCACTCTGCTCAAGGGAAAAAAAAAAACCCTGGTTGAGTAAATTGGGTATTGCTGAGAAGGGTCTTGTGAGTTTGGAAAAGGGGAACCAGAACCAGATCACGCTTCTAAGTTTAGGACTGCCATAGTCAGTTTGGGATTTGAAGAGAGGAATTCTCTCTTTAAATCCCAAGAAACCAACTAGAAGATTCAAACAATTGCCCATAAAGGGAGAGGCTGATGACCTGATCTAAGTCAGTTTTAATAGGAATATTAAGGAGCAGAAAATGTAGATTCAAGAAATAGGAGTTAAAAAGGAAAAAAAAAAAAGTAACAGACAGTGAAAGTAAGATGAGAGAAATGGCAGAATAGGAAGGGTAGTGATCATACAAGGAAATGATAAATTTTGGAGGTAGATCTGTTCTCAGTAGTGACCAGGTCCAAGATATGGTTGCAGGAGTGGTCACTAAAGTGAGAACAGGTGAAAGAAGGTTCTCAGGGCAGAGGAGATCAAGGAACTGAGCAGGGCAGACATATACTGATATACCTGCAACTTTTTATCATTACAAAGCCCGCTTACCTAGTATGCTGCGCTGCTGCTTTCCTCCTCTGTTTCATTCTATGTTGCTTTGCAGCGCTGGTCAGGACACACTAAATTTATTTTGTCACTTTAATGGGCCACAACTTAAGTTAGAGGAAACGCCGGGCCAGAGTGTTAGGTCATCTGTATGGAAGGTAAAGGCCTTGAGGTGGGGAGGCTGATGGAGTCACACAGTGCGTGTGAGGAAGAAGTTCCAGGTGATGCACTGTGATATCAGGAATGAAGAGAGGATGCCACATGGGAGAGGGTTTTGAAAGAGGGTGATAGGAACCACCACCTGGAGGCAGCAGTGGGGAGAAGTCAGGACCTTGAGATTTTCCCCTTAGCTTTCATTTCTAATACAAAGGTCAAAATGTCCCTCACGCTAACCAGGTAGGTTCTGTTAATACACACTCTCCTTTTACAGAAGAAGAAGGATTAAATAACTTGCACTTACAGGAACTTGTAGAGATTCAAACCAGTCCCTTAAGCACTAAATGCAAAAGACCCCTGGATAGTTTTGTAACCTGATAAAATAGCCATTCTGTATCCTGCTATTTGCTGGGAGATGCAACTTGATTTTGTGACTGGAAGACCAGGCGGCCAGCCTCTTGCTCTCTTCAACTCCCCCTTTTCTAACCTGTATGAACACATGTAGGAGTGAATATTTTCACAAAGCAGAAATGTGCAAAGCCATTGATTTTTTTTTTCTCTAGGCAATTTTTATAGCCCTGAGTAATGAGCCATTCTGCTAATCTGGAGATCTGGAATTTAAGCAAAAGTATGGTTTAGCTGCCCTGCCTGGTCATCAGCCACTCCAGCCCTCAGGCTCTGTCTCTTCCATCTCCATCTGTCATCTTTCAGAATCTCTTCCATTTTATACTTTTCTCATCCCATGTTCTCTGACTGGCTCCTTTCCTCACATGTCTTTGAGAGTCAGCAGA